CATCCATCGCTCCCTCCTCCCTCCCTCCATGGATGGATCATCCATCCATCCATCCATCCATCTATCACTCCATCACTCCATCCATCCCTCCCTTCATCCCTTCATCCCTCCCTCCCTCCATCCATCCCTCCATCCATCCCTCCATGCATCCCGCCCTCCCTCCTCCCTCTGTCTATGGATGGATGGATCATCCATCCATCCATCCATCCATCCATCCATCCAATCCATCCAACCATCCCAACCATGCCATCCATCCCATCCATTCAATCCATCCATCCATCCATCCATTGTGATGCTGCAAGAGATAACTCGCAACGGAGAAGTGGGTGGTGGACGACGACTCGTGTTGAGTGGCTTAGCATGCCATAGCCAGGTCATAACCAATGGTAGCAAAGAGCAAGCAAGTCACTATCATGGTGGGTAAGGACCACTGGTCCAGGACCCTTTGACTTCAGGTTCAAGAGGAGGTGGGAGGAGGTAGTTAAACAACATCAGTAGTTAAACAACATCACGATTGTATGACATACAACAACCCTTCCTCACCAATTTCAGTAGCTGCTGCAAATCTGGAAGTGAGTGTTTGCACTATAATAACACCCTGGTGAATCCTTGCTTTAGATCGGTAGGCACCGCTATGAAACTTTGAGCTAATCAAGACCTCCCTGTGTCTATACTTTGTTGCAGTATGCCCCCATATATTAAGTTACCCGTACATCCTTCTCATGTACAGCAGGTACTACAGCCTTATCATCTGTAGACTTCTATCCTCTAAGTTTGTCGCATTGTTGCCTTTCTTTTTTATATATGTCTATATATCGTCAAACAGAGCTGCCCGGTAAACCGTAGGCAGAGGAGCAGAAGAGGACAACAAACAAGGGGCTGTGACAAACTGTTTCGTCGGAGTTTCACAGACGCATCAGGAGGCCGAACTATAAGGGTTGTGGGGTGTCGGGGATATGACTCAGGAAGGAAGTCCGGCAGGACACTTCACGCGCCGGGTTCATCCAACCTGTTGGCACAGCGGACACTCACTCAGGAATCACTCAAGCCGGGACACTCAGAGAGGGGGGAGAAGAGAGACCTTGCCACACACCGGGAGTATCAGCCTGGACCGGAGCTACCAGGCCGCTGCGTCAGGGTGCATCTCCCTTCAAACTCAGGGTCCTACAATAAAATCCGATTAAAAAACAGGGATGAACTTTCACAGTAGCATTGGGCATGATCTTTGCCAGTAATACAGTCTGGTGGAAACGTGTACAAACAATAAGGAACCCTGAGTCAACTGCAGTTGAGTTAACGATAAGTTAAACATAACTTTACCTGGTGAGTTAACCCCGTTAATTAACCTGGTGAGTTTAACTGTGAGTTTAACTGTGAGTTTAACTGTGAGTTTAAATGTGAGTTTAACTGTGAGTTTAACTGTGAGTTAAATGTTCAAATGTACTGATGCTTAGCATGCAGTTAACATTCACATGTGGGACATGCTACTGCAAACCATGGCATATGACAGAGACGCAGTACCTGTAGTACGATGAGCCCTCACAAAACTTCACTATAGGCGCGTCCCATGCAAGGGAGAACACCATCTCCCTTGACATGCCTGGGGGCACAACTGTGAAGGCGGCTACAGCAGCTCCTATGGCACATCCTTCACCTGATGGCGATTTCTGCTCATCCTTGCTTTTGAAAAAGAACCCATTCTAAGAGCAGCAGCCAGAATAAAACAACCTTCAACAGTCAGCTGTTTTCAACAACTATGTTGCACTAGAACTTTGAAGTCTGGAAACAAAATGAAAAAGAAAACAAGAAAACAGAAAATGAAGTAAGAACGTGTGATTGATCGATTGATTGATTGATTGATTGATTGATTGATTGA